CCCCCAATGCTGCTTCAAGTACTTACCTTATGTGATGCCTCTTGATGCGAACATCTTCTTCCTTCCACTCGTTTACAACAGTCCCTACAGCGGTGGTGCAGTTGTCTGATCCAGCGCAGACTTCTATGTCTTCCTGTGTCCCATGGAGTCTGCCTGGTGTGCACGCTCCCGGCTGCGTGCATTCACATAGACCGTCTCTCCACCAGTAAAATCGAGTGTGCATGCGCCTGCACACACTTCCTCCTGCACAGCCGTTTGGGAAGCTGAATTCTGCAGCCGGGAGCGAGCGGTGCAGGCAGAGGTAAGTTATTAACTATGTGCCAACTTTTTTTAAATGTTTTTGCATATATCTACTGCTTGCTAGACTTCACTACTACTTTAAACTGTGTGACTTTGCACTAAGGCATCACCTGAGCTTTAAGCCAAGTTTGTAATCATTCACAGCACACAGAATCCAGAAAAAAAACTCATAGGTTGACAGACTGGGCTGAGTAACTTACTCTCTGTTTGGCTTCCTGTGTTACCATTCACCCTCATAAATCCAGAGTGGCTGTGAGACGCTTCTAAGTATTGCTTTCTGGAGGTGAGTAGGTGTGTCTGGGACATTTTGTCTTGCATCACAAGTAGGGGTTCTCAGATTACCGACTTACAAACATAAAAGAGTGGGGTAAACTGGTGAACTACAGCAATGCCTGGATAGAACACTTATTGACTGAAAATACATTTCAACCTTTAATTCAGAACAGAAGTTTTTAATGAAAAAGAAAAAACACAAATGTTCAATTTTCACACACACAGAAAGATATATAACCTACACAATTCTTACAGAAAGCACAAGTTAAATTTGGTTACTTATATGCATCTAGACTTTGGGCCCATTCACACCATCTGGTTGCTGTAACACGTGTTACCGCAACACACAAGAATGCATGTTAAATTCATTCTAAATGGCACCCCTGCAATCCTTCAGATGGACATACATGCACAATTTATTGGCAGTGCGCTGCAATGCTCATCTTCCAGTAAAGTGCATCGGTGTGCCACATGAATGAATGGAACCACACTGCACCAACCCAGGTAACGTGTTGCCGTGCCTTACCGCAACGAGAAGGTGGGAACAGGCCCTTAAAGTAAAGCTGTGCCAAGATCACATGCAGTAAACATATTCAGAACAAGCAGTAAATGCACTTTAAGAAAAGCCCCCATTTACCTCTGCATCTATAAACATTGTAGAGAAGTTAAGTTTCAAATTTCACAACACAGACATTGAAACCTTTGCTTTTTTTTCTTCCTCAGATCTCTAATGTGACCAGACAGCGGGTGTTTCTAAAATGACCAGCTGACTTCATTGCAGATACTTATATTGCCCAGACAACTTTAGGTTCTTTGTTGTGATCTTTGAGAATGAATAACTCTACATTAAAAGCAGCTAGATAGGTTCCGGGTTGAATGTTTTAAAGCTTGTCTGCTGCTTAAGAATATGTATATAGTTTAAATGTTCATAGTCACAGATGTAAAGTCACATGTGCCTGCAAAGCGATGAATACTTCAGCAGAATTTTGTATTTTCATTAGTTAGCAATATAAAGCTCTGACTTTAAATATCATCAATGACTTCTAATCCCAAAACCGAAAAGGTCATACATTGCAGCTTACCTCATCAGGCTTTATTTTCTTTTCATTTTCACCTGGTAATACTTCAAATAATACACTTCCTGTCTACAGTTTTTTCTTCATTTTATCTAAGGGGCAGCCATGACTATCACTGAGACTGGACGTTAAACATGCCTGCTTTTGTTCATCTCCAATACATGGTAGATTGATGGGTATAGTAGTTTACACAATAAAAATCAGGTTATTTGTGCTTTTAAAGCATAAATCAGGAAAAAGAAAGCATATGCAGTACATCTCTGCAATACATGCACATTGCCCCGTGTTTTCTCTTTAAAGACCCTGCAAGTACAGAAAAATACCCGATGATCTGCCAGAAATGCGCTCAGCTCCTATAGCTGGCCATGCACGTTAAGATTAGGGATGCACTGATACTTGTATCAGTGCCGATACAGAGTATTTGGGCGAGTACTCACCCAAATGCTCCAATACCTTCCCGATATCAGAACATCTGGTCAGAGGAGGAAGATTTCCTCTGACCGGCAGTGCCGTAGGGGAACATGGAGCTGACTTCCCGGGCAATCAGGAAGCTGGGCGGCGTGTAATGACCCACCTCCCAGCTTCCCGATTGTCCGGGAAGCCGGCTCCATCCCGATTGGCTAGGAAGCTGGCCTCCCAGCCAATCAGCATCGAACCGGCTGCACAGCCGGTTTTCTTGCCGATTGGCTGAGAAGTCGGCTTACCGGCCAATCAGCATCTAGCCGGCTCGAGGCTGATTGCCTGGAAAGCTGGCTTGATGCTGATTGCCTGGAAACTCAGGAAGCCGGGTCATTACTCCTTGCACGGTTTCTGGATTGGCTGAGAAGCCGGCTCGATGCCAATTGGCTGGGAAGCCGGTTTCCTGGCCAAACAACATGGAGCCGGCTTCCCGGACAATCAGAAAGCTGGGCAGCATGTCTCTATCCGCCGCCCAACTTCCTGAATGCCCGGAAAGCCAGCTCCATGCCAGCGTAAGTACCGAAAGCAAAATATCAGTACTCGTACTTGATACCGAAAAGCCGGTATCGGTGTGTCTCTAGTTAAGATTGTTCTGGTTCAGACCGCAGGGCTGAATGAGAGAAATCTTTGATTCCCCAAAGTGTGCTAAAAAATGTTGATTGGAGGAATCTCCCTTACTGGCTATTGTGTTCCGACTAGGGATGCACCCATATAATCGGCCGAAAATGGCACTTTTGGCTAAATGCCGAAAGTGCCATTTTTCTGCCAATATAGCGGCGCATCCCTGCTTTCTTTCCTCCCTGCTGGGCGCTGCTCTGTGTCCCAGCGGGGAGGAGAGAAACTGTCACAGGGGGCCGAGCGCTGCAGGAGGAGAACGTTGTAAGCGGCCAGCATCTCTCCTCCCATACCGCTCAGCCTCCTGTCACAGATCAGCAGAGCGGTGTGGGTGGAGACAGCCAGCGCTGTCACAGGAGGCTGAGCTCTCCTCCCGCCCCGCTCACCCTCCTGTGACAGCGGTCAGGAAGGAGAGCGGTGCAAACACTCAGCGGATCAGTGATCGCTAAATGTTTGCAAATAATTGAGGACATAGTATGTGTACTGTATCCTCAATTATGAATGAATGGGAAGTGATCTACATCACCTCCTGTTTATAAATGAACGGTCAGAGGATTTCTGTTCATTTATAAAAGAGGCTGCAGAAAAAACAAAAAAATAGATTTTTTCCATTTTAAAAAGGGAAATATCAGGGTTCTGTTTAGATCCCTAATATTTCTCCGAAGCAGCTAAAAGTAGAGTAAAAAATAAAAATAAATTTGAAAAAGTTAGAAAAAAACATTTTCGGTTCGACTTTTTTTTTTTTTTGCATTTCGGTTCACCTCTAGTTCTGACAGCTGGCTCAACTGAACAGAGATTGCAGCAGATTCACTGCAGCTACTCTTTGGTTGATATTTTTCCATCCAGCCACAAAATTGACTTTAGTCAAGCCAGGTGGTGCCAGCTCGAATGTTGGCCAACTCAGCGTTTCAGCCGAAAAGTGATCCATGTATGGCCTGTTGTGGGCCGACACCACACAGCATTTCGTGTAGGGAGTATTGTCATTCACTAATCTACTCAACAACTCCCACTCTCCTACTCCAACATAAAGCCCAATTATTCTGAACTCCTAGATAAAGAACTAGGCGGGCTGTATGGAATAACAGAGGAAGTGTGGACCACATGGCTCGGAACAGGTTTTTTGCACAATCCGATCTTACAAAATGTTTCCAATGTTATATTTTAACAGACTAAAAAGGGAGCAAATAAGTTCATAGTTGGGGTTTCCATATATTTTAAGCTCAGGGGAAGTGACGAGGACACATTTCTGGCAAGATCAACAGGTATTTTATGAATGCGATAAATGTTCTTAGTCTGAAAACGAATGAAACCAGCACATCTAGGGACTGATAAGCTGCAAAAGATTTGGATTTGGGGTTTTGATTTAGATATGTTTCAAGACTTACACAACTTCCACCCAGGAATCACACTTTCCAGTTGAATCCACATAGTAAAATGTGTGAATGGTGGTTGAAGGTTATGGAACTGTCTGAAGTGCGTGCACATAAAGAAAAAGACAAGCAATACATTGAATTTACTTTTCATTACAAATATTACCAGAGCTAGGACCTATAAGGCAAATCATAGAACTTTCTGCTGGAAGCCCTTTGTTCTTCCCGAGGGTCAGCAGAGATCAAACGAATACCATGGTATCATGCAAGAGCTGCAAACTCAAATCTAATTGCACATCTATGTCCGAGAAACCCCCAGGGATGACCGTTACCATGGAAAGAAAAATCTGAAATGTCAGCAACATTTACTTTACTCTGGAAATCCCCTTCAATGAACAGAAAACTACTACTGGTGACCTTTCTTCCTGAGAATGCAAGCTGCCTGGCTGTCATGCTGAGGTTTTGTCTTCAGTGACCCAAATATAAAAATGAGGAATTTCGACTTACTGGCTGCATAAGTGAGTCTGTCACTCACAGACTACTAAAACCAGACAGAGCCAGGCAACTAGCATTTTCTAAAGTAGGTCAGCAATGGCAGCCCACTTTTCTCTCACGACAGGCATATTTTAAAAGACACTTTGTCACTAGGGAGAAAAGGGAAAAAACTGTTGCAAACCTGCAGCAGCCTCCACAGCCAAATCTGTGGGGGCAAGGCTTAGCAACACTTCATGGAAGGCTGGGAGGCTGCTGCTGGTATGAGCAGGCACCCAGAGGTACCGTCACACCTTCAGTAGCTTGCTCCCCTTTGCTCTAGTGACAAAGTCTCTTTAAAGTCCTGCATTGGAAAAACCATGGACTTCTGTTGGCAGTGATCCACACAAGTTTGACACAAACAGAAAGCACTCACCAACAGCTCTGAATAGGCAAGCGCCATCTTCCTTCATCTGTTTAATAATAAATCCCTTCTTCTCTTGCAGCGCCTTTGCAAACCAGTGCTCCTGCTGGAAGGTAAAGACACACAGCTGCATTAGAGGGTCCATGTAAAGTCAGACTAGCATATCTAAATAATGACAGGTTTTGCCACTGCTGATCAACAAGTCCCAGGAAGCCATGAGCCACACAAGTGGGCTTGCAGGCAACTTGAAAGAAAAAAATTGAACCCTCCTATTCAATAAGGGTATTAAAAATATTTGAGGTTCTACAGTTGTACAGTATTAGTATTGACCAACCACTGCTTCTACCCAGCTAGAACTCTTCCCAGTCGTGGGCCTACCTGAGTATTTGGAGTTTGAGCCACCTGACCTACTTCAGTCTGAGCTGCACAATGAGACCAGTTCTCAAGTACTTTTTTTTTTCAGAGTTCCATTGCACTCCTGATCGGAATGAACCCCCAAATACTCCTGGGTGGGGGGGACAGGGAAAGCGGATGGCACCATGAAAATCGTAGTAATCACTGGCACTCCAAAATTCCTTACATCAATTCTGCTGTATTGACTTATACATTGTAAGACTACCTTGACTATCTCTAGCAATGTATTGCTATACATTGTAAGACTACATTGACTATCTCTAGCAATGTATTGCTATACATTGTAAGACTACCTTGACTATGCCAATAAAAAACAACCGACATAAGGAATTTTGGAGTGCCAGTGATTACTATGATTTTCACCAATTGTAAAGGACCTCACTGCACACGTACCAGCCCTGAGGCAAAAACCCAGGCCAAGGAGAAGCTAAACAGATTATAGGAGTGGCATGCATTGATATTGGGAGAGCCGACAACCTGTCCTTTCATGTCACTGTGTGATGACTAGAAAATCTCGGGGTCAATGCATCATAAGCAGAGACATTTATCAGAACTGGAGCAGACAGAATCTGGAGCAGTTGCTCATGGCAACCAATCAGCTTCTCACTTTCAATTTTCAGAACTTAAACTGAAAAAAGAAGCCGATTGGTTGCCTTGGGCAACTGATCCGGTTTTGATAAATTCCCCTCTGATAGTGCAACAGTGAACATAGTAGGGATTTGAGGCTTCCATCAACCCAGGTACAGAAACACTAGATCTAGGTAATGTTTGACGCACGTGGAAACATAAGCAACAGAGGAGATTCAACACTTGTGTGTGCACAAAAAAACTCTAATGAAATAAGAACTTTACTATGTCATATAATCTTTCCATCTGTTATGAGCTGTCACTAGACAGGCAGCATGCTTCCTGCTGATCTCATGTTTGTTGTTGTTTTGGATTCCATCGGCCAATGAGCTCCACCTAGTGGGTGACACAGACATATACAGCAAATCCAAACAATGGTGCCGAATTAAAAAAAATTAAGAAATGACAGCTGGAATGTGGCTGGCTACTAGGAGCTACAAACACACATAGGACCCATTCAGATCACATCTGCTGGATTCCATTGCTCAACGCAGGCCTCATGCAATGACAAGCTGGAATCCCTGCTGCATTTCAAGGCACAGCAACCTTCCTTTCCTTCATCACAGCATGCTGCAATACACCTTAAGGAAAGAAAAATAAAGTATCTTGGCTCCTACTGTGATGAATCAATGCAACGCAATGCGTTTAAAAACAGACACCAAGTCAAGTGCTTGTCAATGCAAGCTAACAGATGTGATGTGACTCCAGACTGAGGCCTCATACACATGCGTTTAGTGCACATGGCTCAGCATTACCTGATGTGGGATGACCGCTATAGGTGATTTGTTCACATGTAGCAAACGCTTTAGTTAACCCTTGTGTGGATTAGGCTATTCAGATAGAACTTAAAGGAGAACTATGAGGCGAGTGATTTCCACTCATCCTCATAGTTAGAGCCGATGTGTGACATTGAAACTGTTGCACATCGGCTCTATAGAACGGGTAGTGAACAGAAACATGCCGCCGATCCGCTCACTTCCTGATAGTCTCCCTGCAGAGAGCAGTGACTGATAGACGCCGCTCCCCACAGGGATTCCCCCCTCCAGCACTGACTGGAGGATCGGACGGGGAAGATGGAAAGTTACAAGAACAGCATACCGAGATACAGCGCTCGATCTGGGGGGGTTCTATGAAGTATAATACTGAATGTACTTGCTCAGTTGAGCGGCTTCAGGAGCATACGGACCGGGGTGTCCGACCGATAGGTGAGTCAAACAGAAACAGGGAGGGAGAAGCGCTGCAAACCAAGTGGGAACGGACGGGGAAGAGCCCGCTGTCAATCAGCTAACTGGGTAGATCTCGACTGTATTGTCCGAATCCGGCCGGCTGCGGCGCTCTCAGTAAATAGCCCGCTATATACTGAGCTTTGGGTCACGGGAGGACGTTAGTATGTGTCCTCCCGTGACCCTTAAAAGAACTATGGGCTAAAAAGGCTACCCCATAGTTCTCTTGTACGTACAAGGGCATTTTCACAGTGAACTATACATCTGTACCTACTTCTACAGCATCTAAAAATGCCACCATGATGAAGTATTAGAAGTCCTGTTTCCTGTAATCCGGTCAGCAGAGTATGAGTATGTCCTGCTCCAGAAAGAAAAGCATGCCATTCAGTTGAATGCAGAGCAGGTCTCCTACCTCCAAACATCGCCATCTAGTGGTGGGCTACTAACAGAACACAGGATGTAAACAGAGCCAGTGAGGGGAATAGAACCTCGGTCAGGTTTTTAATTGTTGTGTGTCCTGTTGAGGCGTTTCACTCTCTTTAATTGTCCTGATCGCCAATGTCACCAGGATTGTGACAGTAGGTATGTCCAACATTCTGAGTTAAAAATAAACGGATGTCACCAGCACACCAATAGTGTTGGAAGTCCAAAGTGTTTGTTTATTGGATCATCATCATGCCACCAGAATAAGCGCTTTCGGGGCCACGCAGGGTCCCCTTCATCAGGCTCAGCAATCACCATCAGTCATTGCTGAGCCTGATGAAGGGGACCCTGCGTGGCCCCCGAAAGCGCTTATTCTGGTAACATGATGTTCCAATAAACGAACACTTTGGATTCCAACACTATTGGTGTGCTGGTGACATCCGTTTATTTTGTACTGTTTGGCGGCGCCATCCGTGGTCACTGAGAGCACCCCCCCTTATTTAACTTGGGGCTTCCCGGTAAGGAGTGCGGCAAGGTATTTCTATGTTTGTTCCAACATTCTGAGTTGTCACCAGAACAGAAATAGAGGAAAATCTTTCAATAGGGGCCATCTATTCCCGGTTCACGATGGGATCTCTCTCACGTTGGAAAGATACCCTCTCACTTCCTGTGGGGTCTGCAGTACAGGAAGTGAAAAAAAATCTCCTCAATAAGACAGATGGCAAAAAAAAAAATTTGACAGCATTTTAACCCTACTCTATCCAAAATGAAAATCCACCTTTTGGCCTTAGATATAAAGTGCAGTTATAATTTCAGCTTCCAAAAAAATAGCAGATCACATGGAGCCTTTGAAGTCTTTGTCAGCAGCTACACTAAAACAAAGCAGAACATAATAAAGGGGCGAACATTCATGGAAAAGAAAACTACTACAAATTCCTGAACTTTACCATACAATGTGACACATGGTATAAAAAGGTACCCGAGCCAGTCATTACCAACTCACTGGTCATGTTTTTTATATTTTGTAACCCCGCTAGAAGAAAAAAACAAAACATCTGGAAGCCTGACATCAAAAATGGGCTCCCATCACCAGATTCAATGCTGCTGAGCTTATCTGACAAATGGTTAACATAGGCAGGGCTTAACCCTGACTTGGGCAGCAGTCAAGGCCCTGAGTACACCCCGGGCACAGGATTCCTGATGGGCTTTACAGGCATCAGATTGAAGACTAGAGCGCATACTTACAGCATTACTACCTTAAAAAAATGTATTTTATCCCATATCAGCATCACTGAAAATGGATGACATGCTCATCTTCATCTGTCACTCACCCACCTTGTCTTTGTCAGAATACAGAGAACTGTATGGATTTTCTGTCCCTAAAGTGCCTGACAGACTGAAAGCAGAAAATGAAATGCAGATGTGTCACCTTACAAGAGAACTATGGGGTAAACTTTGTATCCCCTAGTTCTCTTAAGGGTCACAGGAGGACATATACTAAACCCTCCCGAGGACATACAATAACTGACCCAAAGCAGGAATATATAGCTCACTATATACTAAGAGTGCCGCAGCCGGGACAGATCCCGACAATACTGTCGAGATCCACAAAGCCGGCTGATTGACAGCGGGCTCTGCCTATCTAGAGGCAGAGCCAGCTACGCCCACACCTCCCCCGTCCGTTTCTGCACTCAGCGCTGGAGGATCGGAGAGGGGAATCCCTGCGGGGAGCGGTGACTGACAACCACGGCTCTCTGAATAGATATGATCGAGAAGTGAGCAACTGACGGTATGTTTTTGCTCATTTACCGATCAATGGAGCGGACCTGTGACAGTTTTTTCATCACACGTTGGCTCTAACTATGAGGATGAGTGGAAATCACTTACCTCATAGTTCTCCTTTAAGTAAATTTTTGTGCAAAGTCATTTGCCCTGCGGATTCTTCTGAACATTCGTTCTGTGCAAAGATGCAAGATAGATTTTCTTTTCAAGTCAAATGTATGTAATACTGCATTTTGGCCACTAGATGGAAGCTGGGGAGTATACAAAAGAAGTATTTCCTATGCTCCTCAACTCCATCTAGTGGCCATAATGCAGTATTACATGCAGTACATTTTCTTTTCAGGTCAAATATATCTAAAAACTTTCATTTTTGCACCTACTCCCACAGAATGTTCAGAAAGGGCGACTGGCTCTGTGAATTGGTTATAATAATTTTTCTGACTGGGGTTTCACACCCCCCTTCCTGGCCAGGCCATTTTTCAGTATTCAGTGCTGCAGTACTTTCACTAACATTTATTCCGTCATGCAACGCTGTACTGAAATGAATGTTATACCAATTTTTGGGGACAGATCGCCTTCTTCTGGTGGTATTTAATCACCACTGGGGGTTTTATTTTTTACTATATAAATGAAAAAAGAACTGA